GTATTTCAGTATAAGCATTCCATATTTCTGCTCAAGATCAACCACTAGAATTGGATTTTTGTTTTTTATTAATTGAAAAAACTGAATCAGCCGAAATATGAACATTTATTGTCACGGATAGCCCTTGTAGTATACTTTCATGTGGTGTATTAACAAAATAATACAAATGCTAATAGATCTATTAGTTCTATTGAAAATTATTAGATTTGTATAGAGATATTAGATATAGAATAACTAGTAAAAATCATAGCTAATAAGCATAATGAGTTAAAATATATCTATAGCCTCACTATCGCTCTTGTAAAAGTTCTATACTCAAACAAGATAATAAAAAGTAATCGTGTCTTTATACACGCATAACTCTAACCAATAAACTTGTTTATATAACTGCATGTATATATACATTTAACCGTTTATCTCTTTTGTAATTGCAAATCTTGAGCTATTAATATATATGATATGGGGTCTTTGCTAGGAAAATGACCCTCCGAGGCTATGTTGACTTTGTGAATAGAAATTGAATTTACCGGCCATCTGGTCATCCAATTTGAATGATTTTTTTTTTATTTTGTTAGAGCTTATTTAGCTCTACAAAATAAAAAAAGTTCATTTAAATCGGATAACTAGATTGTTGGCAAAGTTGATTTTATTCATAGCCTCGGAGGTAATTTTCCTAGCAAAGATCCCATATAAGAAATTTAAAATATTTTATAATAGCTCTAAACAAAATTTTTATAATATTAATAAATATTTAGCATTAATTTTAAAATTTTATTAAAATAAGCAGACAACTTATCCAACTTTATTACAGCCATCATTATAGTAACTCATGATCAACCAATCAAAATTGATTATATAAATATACTCCTGTGCCTTGACTTATTTGAATGACATGTCCAAACTGTATTTGATCCTGAAAGAAAATCTGATAATTAAAAATAAACAGAATGATTAAATGCATAATCAAATTAAATTAAAAAAATCTTGAAGTAAATGTTGAAATCTAGCATTCTGAGAAGTGTTAAAAGGTTAGAGGAAGACAAAACATGAAGGCTGTTAATAAGTTTGACGAAGCACACCTTTAGGCAGAGGGAAGTGTTATAAAAACTTTTGGTAGGCTAGCATTTTTTAGTATAGTAATGTTTTTTTTTGATGTATGGATATGCACAGGTTTCAAGACCCTAGATTTAGATCTGAGACCCTTAATCAAGGTTTCAGATCTAAGATCAAAGCCTGAGATCTTTGAGGACCTGAGTATATAAAAAAATATATATATATTCTAATTGGCTAAATTCATATTATTTCTGATATCTAAACCGAAATTTAATGTTAAAACCATTTTATCTACGTTTTACAACATGAATCAAGACATGATACAACCGATTTAATCTGAATTTAAAGTCGAATTATAGTAACCAATTCCGAACTCTAAACTATACATCGTTGTTTTATTGGTCTAATTGGTTCATCAATCACATCATTGAAAATGTAGATTCGTTAGACAAAAGTAGATTTGTTAGAGTTCATTATTTCTGGCCACATTACTAAACACAATAATTTTTAAAATATAAAGTTGCGTGTAGTAAATTTTGTGATCAAGAATATAGTAATACCTGTATAACTTGGCTAGGGATAGTGGTACTCAATATATACCTTTAACCATTACTGATATTTAAAGCTTGCAAATAAAACGTAGTTTATGTGCAAAATTATTAGTAAAAGTATTTGAACTCGATTGAGGTAAGGGTCACTTATTAATCAAAATAAGATTCTTTAAAATCAATTTGAAATTCAATTGAAATACAAAATATACATCTTTATACACAAATAAAATAACTACAATTACTGTATTTTTTAGAGAATTCTATTTTAACCCGGGCTAAAATCTCACAAACTATTACTAATACATTAATATCGCTTCTCTGGCGACTTTAACCCGGGAAAATAGAATTATCATTATTTTTAATGAAGTTTTTTTTGATTTACAAAAATAACTCCCACCCCACAGTCATCCGTGCAAAAATCACACAAAAATCACACAAATATCTCTCCCTAATTAAAACATTACAATATAGACAAGACTTATATCACAATTATAAGCTTTTTTTCCGACCTGTGCAGCCATAAAGAAAGTCTATATACGCAAAGAATTTATCACCGTATAAACCAAGCAACTCGCGGCAATTAGTCAGCTTGGTAAATTTGAAACTTGCAGAATCAGGCATTGTTTATCGCACGCGTTTCACACTGATAATACAAGATTTCAAAAATTTTGACCATTATTTAATCAAAGGACCAAATTTTTCTTTTATAATTGTTTCTTTGGCCCCTTGTTTTTCAATTCATCCCCCAACGTTTTCAATTGTTCTTTTAAATGCTCGTTTTGTCTTCGCATTGCTTCATGTCTCCTTTTTGACTCCTCCTCTACCTTTTTCAGTTTATCCTTCTGCTTTTTAAATTCCTCGTCATGTTTTTTTGACTTTTCCTCTAACTGCTGAATACGACCCTCAAGAGAACTTATAAAGGTTTTTATCGAGTTATCCTGTGGCAAATCATTACAAATTACCGTGGATGTTTCAGAAGTGGTTTCTGAGAAAGACGATGTTTGTGAGCTGGGATTTGATACAGATGCAATCTGTGTATTATCATTTAAGTTTTGGGGTTCGCCGTGCATTTTATCACCAAACATTGGATTTGAGGCCATATCATCGTTGCTTTGATTGACTTGGTCTGCATTTTTTTTTTTGTCCTTTCCAAGGGATTGAACCAGAATACGGATGGCTTGATCCACATAGTTTTCTTTGTTTTCTTTGCTAATGGTTTTCATGTTAATGATTTCTTTTTTACCCTTTCCAGAGTTGGGGTTAAAAGAAAGACCACGCATTATTAGATCCATAACTTTGTTAATGTTTTCTATGTTAATGTCTTCTTTTTTACCCATTCCAGAGTTAGGGTTGAAAGAAAGACCACGCATTATTAGATCCATAACTTTGTTAATGTTTTCTATGTTAATGTCTTTTTTTTTACCTTTTCCAGAGTTAGGGTCGAAAGAAAGACCACGCATTATTATATTCATAACTTTGTTAATGTTTTCTATGTTAATGTTTTCTTTTTTACCCTTTCCAGAGTTAGGGTCAAAAAAAAGAGCACACATTATTTGCTCCATAATGTTTACTTTATTATTGCTTTCGTTTTTTCCCATTTTAAAAAATTTCAATTTTGAGTTAGAAAGATCACTTATGAGTTGGTTTATTGTAGAGTGGCCTCAATTCACATAGGATATATAAATGTTAAATAATATACGATTTAAATACCATTTAAATTATATTCCAATTTTAAAAATTGTTTAGACAAGATTTACAAATTAGGTAATTACGTATTAAAGTAATATATTTTCTATCGTTATTCTTTATTTGTAATGTTACCCAATTGGGGCTACAAGTTAGGTACTGATAGACAGCCTTTTAACGTACGTACGTACGTTACGCTATTTAGACTTATTTTCTTGTATAACAAATAAACTCAGTTTTTGTTTAATAAGATTACAATATTGACTTATGCACATGGCTGTAACTTGTCTTTTTGAGGTATTTCCTTATTTATTTTGGATATAACCTGATTTTATCACGCAAAAAAAAAAAAAAAAAAAAAAAACGAAACATATTGCTTATGTACGTACGTACATGCACCAGATACTATAGTAGTAAATTTAATTTTCTAGATAGAATTTCCTATTATATCGTTTGTGAATTGCTAATACATAATAAAAGTTTATTACAAACATTTCAAATATATCAAGTTGTATCTTAGCTGGGTAAAAATAAAGTCTTACTATTAATTTGTTCCCGATACTTTTTAAGTCTATGGGGCTAAACTTGCACCAATCATCGTTTGTCTTTTTCTCTGCCTTTTAAAGCCCAGGGATCCCAAGGGGACTAAATATTCATAGAATAACTTGCAAGAATAGTTTAAAGGTTTTTTTAGCTTTTTTTTTTTTTTAGATAATAAAAAACACTTTTTTAAAAATAGAATCGGTTCTGGAATAATCCTTTAATATATTGCAGAACAATTTCTATATTGGAGATTGCTAAAGCAAGATGCATTCATATGTTTTTAATTATTTAATTAAAATCAAGGTAAGGATTAGCGTTAGTTTAAAATTATCCCCCGGCATTTTTTATTAATATCCAAGACTCATTTTTTTTTGTATTTTACGATTTGATTGACTGGTAGGCACCTTGCTTTGGACGACCCCTATTTTGGGTAAAACCCCTGACTAAATCTGTTCCTTATATAACAGTATAGCGTGAGAAAACTTTACTGTACACCATACATCGTGCATATCGGTATGTTTTTATTGTATAACGATAAGGGTTACATTTACGTATTAGGAAATGCTTATAATGATTTGTTGATTTGTGAAATTAAAGCTGGTAATTCCCTATTAAAGAATTTCTGGTTTTGGTTACATCCAGCCGCATTTTTCCGATTTTGATGTGTCAGGAATTATTTCAATGTGTAAAGCATACGATGATGGCAATAAATCTAACAATCTAACAATCTATCTTATTCAAATAATACTCTTGCTCACTCTTATTTGCTTGCAATAAGACTGCCAAACAAAAATAAATTAAAATGCCTATATACAGTAGTGATGTCGACATAATGTTTTAACATTATTATGTTTTGGTTTTATCACTGATATTGATTTAAATTGTTAAAATAAAACAGATAAAACTACGTATAAATACTATCTTATCGTTATAGTAACTAACAATAATTAAATACAGTATAGATCTGCATCAAGAAGTTTATACTCGCGGATTCCGCTATTATCAAATTACGTAAGAGTCAACTATATAATAAATATTAAATTAAACTTTATTATTATGGAATTACATAATACTATTATAAAACTCAAAAAACTAACATCAAAACTAACATCAAAACAAATAATTTAATAATTCCTTACTTATTTCAATATGTCAAATAATATTGAGAATAATTTAATTGATGTTAGTAACTGTCAGTTTCTTCAATTAATAAAAAACAAAAATCCAATTCTAGTGGTTGATCTTGAGCAGAAATATGGAATGCTTATACTGAAATAC